CAAAGGATTCTACAATCACAAACCACCTGCTCGGATTCTCGGATATGCAGTCGAGAGGAAAGGAAAAAAAACCTTACTTGACCCAAATATTAAAACCAATCAATCTTATTGGCGCTTAATGCAAGTGGTAGTTATTAAATTGTTACCGAATGAATGAAGTTCCTAGGATTGATACTAAGATAGTGGCTTCTCTAAGAGCCTCTTACGCTCGTAAAGAAAGTGGTGTTGGGGGATATGACAATTTGCTTCCTAAAGATTAGACTTTGTGGAGAGATGACACAGTTGATTCTCTCAAGAGCCAATACTCTCAAAAAGACGGCTTTGGTGTATTTTGCAAGAGTAGAGAGATGGAAGCGATGCGGGAGGATGGAAGGTAGCAGTTAGAGCTTTACCGGACCCTAAAGTATTCTCTACTGCCCCTGCTGCAGCTCCTTGTGTGAAGAAAAGTCATGGAATCCCAACAATGACCCACCAAAAGCAGAACAAGGGTCAAGTGGACAATCAAAATAAGCTTACTTTTCTTCAAAGGTAGCCTGCAGTGAAGTACAATGAACATGAACAAGGGTCAAGTGGAATCTCCTCTCCTGCGAGAGAGACACATGTAATTCTCAATGTATAATTAACGATTCTGCTCTTTGCGTCATGTGCTTTGTCTTCTGTTTCCAGTTTTGAGATTTTTGTATTCTTGTTTTGAGAGCTTAGATTTTTGGTTAATGTGTTCATAGATGTGGATTCGAATTTGGTTGTGTAAATTTTGATTTTAGTTAGAAATTTAGATCAAAATTTCTTGATCTGGATGATTTGTAGCCTCTATGCTGCTTAAAAGTTTCTAATTTGTATACATGATGTTCAAACGAATGTCCTTCGATTTTGAATTGACATACTTTCGCAGCTTCGATTTTGATTTCCAGAGTCTGTTTTTCTCGATTTGGTATTATATGAATTCTGTTCTTGCTCGTGGCATTTGTAGTTCCAGACTCGTATAATCGTATTGACTTGGAATTGTTTGAATTTTCAGACCGGACTATTGCCACCTTTTGTACCGTTTGCTCATGTATTTGCAGCCACTATTACAGCCGCTCTCACTGGTTCTCTCTATTACATCGCTGCTTCTCCTAAAGGTTTTACAAAACCTTTAACCTCTTTTCTATAATTCTGTTTTGTTATTTCTCTTAGATCCTACTTATTATATAATGGCTCCGGTCTTGAAAACTCGCTCTGCCCGAGACGAGCTGTAGAAATTGTTTGCAGGTTTGTAAAAAAATTAGTATATAGAGCATAAGGCTTTAGATATGTTTCACAATCAAATACTTTAAACGGATTCAACATGTTCCTTTTTGCAGTGTTCAGAAGCTTGAAACTGAAGTTG